TGTTAGCTCAATCCACCCAATAGGGTGGAACCTCAGGAGCAGATGGGACCACTCTCCAGAGTTGAGATCAGAGTCTTAAGAACGTGTTTTGCAGTCTCAGGTGAGTCAAATCACGTGCAGCTAGATTGAACCTTCTGAGTTTGTTAGAATCCAGGCCAAGAGTTTGTTTCAAAGCAGCACAGGCCACTGTCTGATTCTGATCAAGTGAGAAAAGATTAAACTGCTGCCTGAAATTGATTAGAATATGGAAAGTGGTGTGTTGGTACCATGGCTCTTTCTAGGACTGAGCCCCATCTAGCCCATCCTAAGCTTTCTCACATTGCACCTTTAAACCATTCAGAGGTTAACACATTCTCACCACCTGGCTGGGTCTATGAAGGCTTCCATTTCCCACATTACATATGCATCTGATATTGTTATTAAACTATATTTAACACATGGCAGAGAAAAAGATGAACGAGAGAAGTCTACAGTATCTCTTCATTAATTTATTCACAAGTGAATATCGTGTGTGTGTGTGTGTGTGTGTGTGTGTGTGTGTGTGTGTGTGTGTGTCTCCATCATATCAAGTACGCCAGAGCCACAGGAAAATGTAAAGTGTCACATATATTTTACCTGGAGGACCAACAGGTACTGTTAGCTTCTGTTTTAACAGTAATTTGAAACAGCACATGATAGGCATCGGAATTAATCTTGTGGACAATTAACATGACAAAAATTCAAGAGAATAAAGGCAGGCTGGAGAAGACCTAGCGAAGGCATTCTAAGCCAGCATTTTGAAGGCTGAAGAGAAGAAGCAGAAAGAGACAAGCAGACATGAGAAGGTAAAGTTGAACAAGACACCTTTGGACTGAGACCTGACACGGTAGGCTCTTACCTTCTCTGTAACAGCCACAAACAGTCCTGAGTCCCAGAAGCTGGTCTCCTCCTCCAGTGTGATGGTGATGTAGGCATGTCTCCTTGGACTCTCCCTCTCCCCAGACACCTCCAACAGGGGCCAGTGACCATTGATCCACTGGCCCTAGGGCTTGCGCGCCTTGTTCTCTTGAACTGATGATCTCCCATGCTCTTTGAGCTTTCATTTTTTTGATCAGGCAAATGAGAAGGACTATGCCCTCACCTCACTCATCCTGCTGAGGTAAATATGGAAGAGGTAGCCCACACAAAGTCACTGTAGGCCTGAATCGCTGACAGGCCTGTTGTGAAATTTCCCTGGGGACATGTGGAGTACAAACTCTAGGGACCCTGTCAGATCACAAGCAGGAGCAATATTTCATTTCAATCAGTCATCCTGATTTCTGGGATCGGAGCCTTATTGCAATATCCCCCTCAGGGTGCTGAGGATAGATGGAACAGGTAAGGCCACCGGTGGGAGGAGGAGGAGGGTGACCATTGATACAGTGGTTACATCCAGAAATCATTCCTGAGGCTTTGCAGTTTGCCAGATACCTCCTTTCTCTAGGTTGATTGTTAAACCATATTTAAAGTTTTCTCTGTTTCCAGGTGCATGCTGGACTCCTGAATAGCAGGGGTCTTCAAGATGGTGTTCCCGTACCTCAGAGAGTACACAAGATGAACTGGCGTAGCGTGAGACTGCTAAAACTTCTACTTACAAATTTGCCGATAAATAATTGCATTCATTTTCTGTTGCAGCTTAAAAACCATAGAAATGTATGATCTCATGGTTCCTATAGGTCAGAAGTGGTGGCTAGACTCAACTGGGTCCTCTACAGAGTCTCACAAGGTCAAAACAAGAGTATTTGCAAGGCCAGAAGTCCTGGGAAAGAATCTTCTGTCTGGATCATGTAGGCTGGTTGGCTGGAGTCAGTTCCTCAAGGCTAGAGCACTAAGCTCTGTCTCCTCACGGGTTGTCAGGATTTGTTCCCCAAGATTGCCTGTGTTCCATCTCGTACGTCCCAGTGGGCTCCCCACTGAACAGTGGAACTTCTCACACTGCAGAGCCCAGGCCCCTTCTATTCTACATCTCTAGCTCAGCCAGAGAACGTTGCTTGCTTTTAAAGTCTCCTGAATTCGATTAGGCACACCTGGATAATCTGGGCTGACACTCATTTCTTTAAAGTCTTTAACCTGAATTGTACTGGCCATCATCAAGAGGCATCTGCCTCCAGTTAGAGGAGAATGTATAAGGCACCTACCTGGCTCCTGTTGGAGGCCCATACCCACGGAATCTGTTGCGGGACAGTCTAAGGAAGACAAGAGAGAGGAATGGCTGTTATAGAGAAGGTAAAAAGCTCACCACACTAGACCTCACTCGGCCCAAGGTGTCTTGATCAGCCATGTTCACAATTTCCAGGGATAATATAGGTTCACCTTTGGAAAGCTTTCTAACTACCATGATGTTAGAGAGAATGCATTCTCCTACTACTCAATATACAGATTGCTGCTGAGAGAGAGGGACAGAGGGACAGAGTCCCATGCAGTTATTTCAGGAGTCTTGGGGGAAAGATAGGAAGCCCCTGTGGAGGAGGAATTGACAGTGAGACCCTCACTTGTTTTCTTTAGCACCTGTGACAGATTAAAATTGGTCTTTACTGTGACTGAGATTCAGGAATGAAAGCCCCCAGTCCCTTCTTCCATCTGGACTCAAACATATCTTTCTTGACTACCATACCCCAGCTGTTGAGAAACCAAATTTAGAACTGAATTCTTGACTTAGCATGTCACAAAGTATTATACCAAGTTATTTATGTGTGTGTGTGCTTCTCCGATCCTCTTATTCTCACTATGAGAACAAAAAATTCCTATATCCAGTTAATAGATAAAAATCATAATTTTTAAATGTTTGTTCATCTGTATCCACTCTTCCATTTTTATTTAGGGGTAGATTATTTTTTAAATATATAACATGTTGGTGTGAAAGTGTGTATTAGTATGGAAGTATAAATAAGTACACATGTTGTCTATGAATCCCTCACCCCACGCTCACATCAGATTTATTATTGCTAAAGCTGCTCAAGCAAGGTTTGAAAGATAAAGTTTTGGGTCACAGGACAAAGTCCATTCTGGGGTAGCTGAAGACCTTCTGGAATTAATTCAAAGCTTTTTCAAACCCTAAACTTACTGCTTTTCTGCATGTTTGGGTCTTTGGCTGTGGTTGGTTTTTTAGGTAATTTGAAAAAAAAAAATTCCAAGGAGCTCTTCCCCTCGACTTTAGCCCAAGAGTGTTAAGAAAAATGAAGTGTTCTTGCTGTTTCTAAAGGTGCAAACTGAGAGTTGGGGGTTTGGGCCTCCTGGTTTCTTATATTCAGGGTCCACCAGGAGTGAGAGTCTCTGAATGGTCGTGCTGGGGGCCTTCCTGTGCGGGACTTTACACATTTGCGGTCCCATCAATCCAGCACCTAGGGGACAGGAAGCCAACAGGGTTTGTGGAGCCAGATAGCCACATTAAAAAAAAAAAAAAGAGTCACTTTCTACTTTCCTGAAGTTAATTAATGCTGAATGGAGCAGGCCAAGTACAAAACCCTGATCAGGCTTTCTCTGAGCAAAGACCCCACATTTTACCCATAAAGCCAAATAAGCCTGACCTCGGGACCCCACAAATGCAGGTCAGCCCTAGCTGGGAGGTACAAAGGAACTAACACTTTTCCCTTCACACTCCTCCTGGAGTTTCCCTTCTGGGTCTTATTTTTATTCATTTTTCCAGTTTATAAAACACACTCACCAATGGGCCCTTGGGGCACATGTGGAAAAGCTTAAAAGACACAAGTACAAAAACAGACTGACTTAAAGTCAGGAACCAAAAACATAGCCGTCCTCCTCCATGTGCCCCCACCCTTCCTCGTCCCCTCCCAAAGCTCCTGAAAGGGCCAGCACATTGGGCTTTTTCAGGAGGCAGAGGTGGTGGGTGTCAGAACTATTTTCTAATATCTCCATCCAAGTCTTTCTCTGGAGCCTGGCGCTGGAGCCCGAGGCAGTTTGGCAACTGGGTTGCTTGAACAAGGAGTGCAAGCATCAGCCATGGGCAGTGGGGCCTCTTCATCTGTTTCCAGGCTCTGGAAAGCCTCCAGAACATCCGGGTCACTTCCAAGATAACTAGGATCCAGACCCCATACAAACTTATCAGGAGTTTGGCTTTTCCATATCAGGAAGGAAAATGAAGATTGTAGTCTTTGAGGTTGCCTAGACAAGGTGCTTGCAAAGGTTCCCTCTTCCCTCCCTCTTTCAAGAATGCCATTGAAATTATTTTCATCTGCTCTGTGAAACAGCTGACTGATAATGCCAAGGATGGAAAAGAGGTGAAGGAAGCCACTCAGACTTTCTTCACATGTGTTTATTGAGCACCTACTACAGCTCCCAGGTGGAGATACATGTAAAAATGAAATTCTTGACCTTTGATGAAATTGATTTTTCTGTAGGGGTGGAGTGAGTAGCCTCTCAGAGAATAAAACTCTAAAACTGGGCTCTGATGGGTGCATAGGAGTTACCCAAGGGATCCAGGGATCAGGCTAAAGCCCAGAGAAGGTAGTGAAGGGCTCCACAGCCCACAGAGGGCTCAGAGCATGAGAGGCAAGGGTGGAGCTCATCGTTCAGTCCCTACCAGCTGCGTTCCATGAGTGGCGAGCACAGTGACATGATCCTTTTCATTTTCTTTCTTTTGGTGCCTGTATTGGGCTTGGACTCCGGGGCTGGTCCCTTAGCCTTTTCACTCAAGACTGGCCCTCTACCACGTGAGCCTCATTTATGGCTGGTGGTTAACTGAAGAACCTCATGGAATTTTCTGCCCAGGCTGACTTTAAACCATGATCCTCAGATCTCAGCCTTCTGAGTAGCTAGGATTATAGGCGTGAGCCACCAGCGCCCAGCAGACGTGATCTTTTGAGTCTTTCAAGAGCTCAGTGCAGCTCCAGAGCTGCCTAGCCACACCCTAAGACCCCTGTTCCTGAAGCTCTGAAAAAAAAATGGCTTGAAACTCCCAACCTGGAAGCTTGTGATCATGGTCTTCATTTCTGTCAGGACTTGGCATCTGCGATCAGCAGAGGTGCACTGGGATGGTTCGCTGAGGATCTTGCCAGGGCAGACTGGGAAGAGGATGGGGAGAAACCCTGCAACCCTCTGGGATGTATCAGCTAAACAAAAATGCAGTCCGGAAAGCAGCAGATCCCTAGGCTGCATAATCAGGAAAGATAAAGAGCACATACTTGGGATGGAATCTGCTCTTCCTGAAGAGTCCTACAGCCATCCAGAGTCAGGACAGCCTTCCTCCATGGGCCGAGTGCTGCCTTCTGCCAGGCCATCCAGATTCCTCAACTACAAAGATGAAGCAAAAGGCAAAGCTGTCCCGTTGGCTCCCAATCCAATGACATGACACTGGTAAGCAGTCTGTGAATACCTACTTCTGGAGGCAAAGGAGAATTAAAACAGCCAAGCTATTGTTCAAATCTTTGGTTATACGGGTCCCAAAATGTCATCAAGATTCTTGAATCCTTCACACACACACACACACACACACACACAGCCCAGAGGAGACTTCCAGAAGGACATTATGCTCCAGTGGCTGTGGGGCTAGAATTTTTTCACAGGAAAAGGAAGTGAGGTCCTCACAAGAGTTAGCTACATGCCCCAGGTCTCCCAAAGTTAACATAATGTATGTATTCTGCTCTGGCTTTCTTTACAAATACTAAGGGGAAAGGAGGAAGGCAGTCCTGTGTGATTTATTAATCCTACTTCTACCCTTCAACCAATACATGAATAAATGAAAGAGAAGGTATATTCAGCTGAAAAGAAAAGGGGGGGGAAGGGAATAAGAGACAACCTCCCCCCTCCCCACACAGACACCCCCGGCCAAAACATGAAAAAATAGGCAATTTTCCCAAAAAGCCATTGCATAGGTTAAAATCGCCCCAGGGAATGTTTAACTTGCTCCTTGGTCATTTATTTGAGCTCTAGGCCACTCTTGGGCTGTGGTGCTTAATGGAAAGAGTATTTACCTTAGCAACCACAGCAAACCGGGATCCAGCAAGCATGCTGGGAGGATACAAAATACCTTCACTAAGGAGGCCATCCGCTAAGAAAATGTCAGACTTCACATTTGGGGATTCTATCAGGGGATCTTTTAAAAATATTTTTCTGTTAATGATGGCTGAGGGTTGAGAAAGAGAGGAGGAAAAAAAGGTACACTTCAGGTCCCCTTTAGTTTTTACCCCTGCCCCCACTTTGCCTCTTCCACCACCTCTGTTGAACAGCCCAAAAGCAGGTAAGGCCAATAACGAAAAAAGAAACCCTCAGAGAAAGAAGTTCATCCTGCTGTCCTGTTGCCACATTCAACAACATGCACGTATATGAAACTCCATGGAAATGGCTCAAGGTAGATCAGCCCTCTAATCCCAGTACTTAGAAAATAAAGATGAGTAGATCATAGTTCAAGGCCAGGCTGGGCATAAAAGTTCTCAAGACACCATCTCAATCCAAGGCTGGGCATATCATCTCAAAATATGAGGGAAACACAACTGAGTGCAGTGGTACTTATCTGTCATCCCAGTGACAAAGGGAAGCACAAATAGGAGGACCACCATCCAGGCCCACTTGGTCATAAAACAGAATCCTACTTCAAAAATTACTAACACAAAAAAGACTAGCAGAGTGGCTCCTGCAGTAGCAAGCATGAGACCCTGAGCTCACACCCCAGTACCACCACACACACACACACACACACACACACACACACACAATCCTAGAAGTCATTTTCCACACATGTGAGTGCTTCTTACAGTTCCCCCACATTCCATCACATAAATGCTTGGCACCTCATAGCCCATGCCTAAGATCAGGCTTCTGGTGAACACACATGTACATGCACACTCATAAAAGACTCCTAGTTTTCAGGAGCATGGGAAAGAGTCTATTTAAGATTCAATCAGTTCAAGCCCCACCACGGACAAAACAAAAAGATTCAATCAACTAGACCAGACGGCATAGCTAGCCTGGAGCTTGAAGGCAGATAAGGCCAACAAGGGAATAAAAAGCCCAGGCCATCAAAAAGAGAAACAATGGATTTTTTTTTATTCCTTACAAACAGCCCAGGTGAGCTCTTAACTCAGTGACAGTGAAAAATCAAAATCCACAGGCTGGCAATCTTCATACCTTGGCGTAGATGCAAGACAGACTTTGAGAAATGGAATCACTTGACTGAGAAGCTTGTTTGTAATGACAACTCTATGGTATGAGGCAGTTGCCTCTTCTGGAGTAACTAAAGTCATACACTCCTGGGCTCCCAGAGAATCCTGGGTTATACATGTGTCTTGACTCCTAGTTTCTGTGGTCTTCATTGGCTCCAAATGAACGGGGCTTCAGGGTCCTCCTCAGCCTGGTCTGTTAGTCTCCTCTCCTGCTTCCTCTTACTTCATACATCATCGTTCAGCCTCATCCAATTCCTTGTGCCAAAGGCTACCATGCCCTCCAATGCCTTACCTTTATGCGTGGCTCCCATGCATATGCAGAAGGCTCCTTTCCCTCTGCAATTCCTGGCAAACTTCCTTATAACCATTCAAGATGCAGCCCAGGAGTCCCCTGGCTCCCTCCTCTTAGTCCCAGAATCTTTGAGCAGTCATTCATTGAAACACTTAACAACACACTGCTTTGTGTCAGATCTGTCTCCAATTAGACCAACAATTCTCAACCAGAGGCCTGGAAGGCACTTGGCAATATGTGGAGATATTCTTGATCGTCATGACTGACAAGGGTGCTGCTGGCATCTAATGGGTAGAGACCAGCGATACTGCTAAACACCCTACCCTGCATACCCAATCCCCAAATATCAATAGTGCAGAGGTTGAGAAAGCTTGAATTGAACAGTGAGTTTATTTTTTTAATCTTTTCTTGTACGTGTGAGTACCATTACTAGGGCTTGAACTCAGGGCCTGGGCACTATACCTTAGCTTTTTTGGCTCAAGGTTGGCACTCTACCACTTGAGCCACAGTTCCATTTCCAGGTTTTTGATGGTTTATTGGAGATAGGAGTCTCACAGACTTTCCTTCCCAGACTAGCTTTGAACTTCAAACCTCAGGTTTCAGCTTCTTGAATAGCTAGGATTACAGGCATAAGCCACTACACCCAGCTCAATAGTAAGTTTCTTAGGACATAGATATTTTTTGTAATTATCTTAGCAATGTCCCCATGCTATGCCATGTGCACAGTCAGCACTATAAAAGTTAGATGGAAAGATGGATAGACAGATCAACATCACAACCAACCAGACAGACTGAAGAACAGGGAAGTCAAACATATCTCCTGAGTTATCACAATTAGCACCAAAAAAAGACGTAGACTCTCCACATTCCAAGCTTCTATAGCCAAAAAACAAATGCTTAGCTTGCAGGAGCTAGCAGGCCTCAAGAGAACAAGGATCCTTCCTGGAGCTCACCGCTAAACTGGGCATTTCACTAAATTCTCCAGATTTCAATATATGACTCCATCTGTTAGTTTTCTTTCCTTTCCTTCTTTCTTCCTTTTCTTTTTGTTCAACTCCTACCCTGCTAAGTGATTTGTGTAAATTCTGATTACCAGTGTAAATAGTGTGCATCTTGTTTATTTTGCTCCATGCAACTTCACACCTTTAGTCCCTGGGAACCTTGAGGGACCAACTGTTACATAAACTGGTTAAAAAGCTTATATTTTCAAGAATGAGATATTTTTCAAACCAAACTTATTTAACTGTGGTTTGCTGCTACGCAGGCAAGAAGAAGAAGAGGATGATTAAACCTAATCTGATGTCACTCCCTGCATCCCCAACCTGGTCCCTACAGAACTTCCCATTGGAAAAGCATTGGCTCCATGCATTCTCATAGCACAGGGGTGATCTGCTTATCCCCATGCACCCAGTTCTCCTACTGCCAAAAGGACAGAGCCACAGGTAAGCAGCGCCGTGTTACGAACTCTCGCTTGCTCATTGGTCTCTCAGTGACCATGGCAAGCTGAGGGATCTGCATACCCCACTCCCCATGTACATGAACCTGGTTAGATCTTTGACCTTGGACATTATTGGTTTAGACCCAGTCTGAGAGCTTTTACTGAACAAAAGCTCTGTGCAAGACACTGGAGTTTTAAAGAGAAATGAGAAGGCAAATCTACAAACAAATACAGTAGTCACAGTATGTAAAAAGGGATATGGGAAGAGAGGCCAAGGAAGGATGCGGGGCCCAGGAAATGGCAGCCATTTGGAGGGAGGGTAGATTTTGACCTACAGCTATAGCTATGACTCCAGGCTGAGGTTGCTTACAACTCTCATGACAATCCTGGACCAGTCCTCTCCCTTGAACGTCAGGGGGAGCTGAACTTCTCTCGTACAAAGCCCACACAATTCTATTTCTCAGGGTGGGCGGAGGGTCGATGGCTAAGCCAGGCCTATCAAGAGCAGAGCCCGCTGGGGCCTGAGGGTCTCCTGCAGACTAAACATCTGAAGCCCTGAACTCCCACAGATGTCAGTCTGGCTGGACGGCACAGTCGGACACCTCTGAAAGGCTGTCCACTCCCTGTCTGAGAATAAACAGGACCCCGGACTGTTAGATTTTTTTTTCTGATGCATGTGTGTGTGTGTGTCTGTGTCTGTGTCTGTGTCTGTGTGTGTGTGTGTGTGTGTGTGTGTGTGTGTGTGTGTGTGTGTGTGTATGTAGGGTCATTTTTCTTTAAAGGAAAAAAAAAGAAAGAAAATGGAATTTCCTTAACTTGGAGATCAGCGCCTGAGTCTGCTCAGCCCAGCCCAGCCCAGCCCTGCCCCACTAAGCCCTCAGGTCCAGAGCCTGGCACTGGATTGCTGCCTCACCCTCACTGACCCAGGTGCCTCTGGTCCAATGTATTTATGACAACTGAGTCTCACACCTCTGGGTGCCAGGACCTCCAGCTGCAGGAGTTGTCATCTCACTTTTTTCCAAATTTCTTTAAAATTACTAGCCTGAGTTTAAGTCCAATAGACCATCCCTGCTGGTGCCATGGTCATAGCCTGTCCCCCACATGACATTGGCTGTCCCAGGCTATCAAAGCGGGTGGCTCTAGGTTTCCATTTGAGACCACTGTTGCCCCTTATTGAAGAGCCATTGTTTTAAGGAAGCCAACCCTGACATTTGCAGGGACTTTGCTCCTAATCACTTAGCTCCAAGTGAACCACACAGTTCCATTGCATTGGCAGCCTTTCCTTAATCCAATCTCTCTCAAGTGAGGAGAGATCTCATATATACAGATGTGAAGAACACAGGCTATAATAGCTCCATACAGTGCCATCCTCACAAATCTGTCTGTCTACCCCACTGCCCTTTCTCAGGGCAGAGCAGCCTCTGCCATCTCTACCCAATGCCAAACTGCATCTCTACTTCTCTCCCAGACCAGGGGATGCCAAACCCATGACAGTGTGAAAAGTCACCTCCACCCTGGCACAGCTAAGGATGACCTCAGCAGAGGGTCTTCAAAATGATGAAGGAGAAGTCCAGTTTCAAACTTCCTGGAATTCAGAAAGGTCCAGTGTGCACTTCTTTAATTTAATTACTATTTACTATTTATCATCCTTTCAAAAGCCAAGAAGCCTGAAGCCTTTAAAGAATTAGAGATGTATACTATTGAGATATGCATCCCAGTGTAAAATGATTAATTATTGGTCTTGTTTTTACTTTAATTGTTGGAATAAATGTCTTTGATTCTGCCTACAATGTGTTTGATTCTGAATTAACCTACCCTAACCCAAGGAGCAAGAAGAGAGCAGGCATATGAAGTCAACTCAGAAGCAGCCTTTAGCTGTCAGTCCTTTTATCAGAAGATGGACCATATATTAAGCAAAAGGGCCAGCCTGAGGGCAAAAGCAGCCACCCTTGGCATCTTGTCACAAATCAGATGCTCTCTCTCCTACTGGCCTCAATCCAGAAGCTCAAGCACTGAATACACAGCTTCCTGGGTTTAGATTGGTTCCAGGATCCAGGACCCTCCTGCTGCCTTCAATGAGCAGACTCACAGAAAACCAAGGCCAGGAAACACAGGTCAGATCCTGAAAGAAAGACTTGATCTGCCCAGCATCCTGTATCCTCGGAAATTTCCTTCTCACTGTTCAGTGTCTTGCTTCAAATCTCTTCTGTAAAAGTCTTTGACTTTACATTTGGAGCAATGGCTAACAGATGCCCCAATAAGTAATTCACTGACTTTAGTCCACACATCCAAGATGTCAATGTCACCCAGACCTATCTGGCCCTTGAGAATGTGCCAGATGATGTGGAAGCAGCAACATCTTCTGGGAAGTACCAGGCAGGATGTGGGATGTGTGTGTGTGTGTGTGTGTGTGTGTGTGTGTGTGTGTGTGTGTGTGTGTCTATTGGGGTTTGAACTCAGAGCCTTCTGCTTGTTAAGCAGTTACTCTACCACTTGAGCCACTTCATTAGCCAGAACCTAGTATTTTAATTAAGCAGATTTGACTGAAATCCTGACTTCTTCCAGTGTTGTGTGATCTTGACTGAGTTACATAACTTCTCTGCAGTTTAGTTTCTCCATATGTAGTCTATTTTTACTCACTGATTTATCATCATAAGTAAAGGCAATGGCATAATAGATGATCAATTTCTTTCTCTTATAAGGAGGAAACTCCAATAAAAAGGAAAAATGTAAAAAATAAATAAAACTTCACTATTTCTCCACTGAGCCCAGAACCAGTAATATGAATTAGTAAGTAAAACAAGCTTTAAAAAAAACCTGGAGAAACCACACATTCTTAGAAGACATGAATGGCAGCATACTTTGACTTCTACTCTATACCAAGGGTAAGGAACAGTACACTCACACAGCACAGCTCCACGTAGGAGCAAGCATGGCTGTTTCAATAAAGTAGTATTTACAAAAGCAGGCCCCTGGCCTGCAGATGGCTTATCCTATCCCATACCTCCAACTCCTATCTTATGACTCTTCTTGATCATCACAGAGCTTCTTCTAAAGATCACACCTCTTCCACTCTGGAATCTCAAAGGATACTTAAATCTTGTACATGTCTATAATTTGTCAGGACCTCCAGACTTTCCCGGACTAAGGTTGTCAGCCTTTGCTGAGGCTTTTGGTAATACTTGCTAATACCTAGGACAATGTGCTGGGTCCCAACCCTAGACTATCTGGCCAAGTGAAGCGTGGCTGACTTTCTCACAGAAAGAAAGTTTAAGGGACAAGCAAAATACAGAAAACTTTGTTTGTTATCCATTGTCTCTTCTCATATCAAAGCAAATGAAATACAGCAAATGCCACTACTACTCTGCTTTATAGACATAAAAACTAGGATGCCAGAGAATGAAGAGACTTACCTGCCAACCACTTATGGCTCCTTAGGGACAGCACCAAAAATGTGATTAAGTCCTTTTCTCTTTTAGTCCCTTGGCCAGTTTTTCCTGCTTTTTCTTTGATTTCCAGGGCTTTCATAATTGGCAGTGAAGGCCAGGTGCTGGTGGCTTGCACCTGTAATCCTAACTACTCAAGAGGCTGAGATCTGAGGTTGCAGTTTAAAGCCTGCCTGGGCAGGCAAGTCCATGAGATGCTTATCTTCAATTAGCTAGTAGAAAGCTGAAAGTGGAGCTGTAGCTCAAGTGGTAGAGTGCTAGCCTGGAGTATAAAAGCTCAGAAACAGTGCCCAGACTCTGAGCTCAAGTCCCAGGACCAGCACCAAAAAAAAAAAAAAAATGCAGTGAAGTGTCAAGGTAGAGACATCTCCCACTCTGATAGGGACTGAGTGGAAATGATATGAATAAAGAGGCTCATACATATGGCAATGACGGGTTTGCTGTGTGTGATCAGTGATGTGTCCCCACATTGCAAACATTACTGCTGGAGACTGAGCACTGGTAGCTCATGCCCGTAATTCCAGCTAATCAGGAGGACTGAGATCTAAGGATTGTAGTGTGAGGCCAGCCTGGGCAGGAAATTCCATGAGACTCATATTTCTAATTACCCAGCAAAAAGCCAGAAGTAGAGCTGTAACTCAATTGGTAGAGCACTAGATTTGAGTGAAAAAGCTAAGAGGCCTCTGAGTTTACGCCCAGCACCAAATGAATAAATGAATAAAAATAGATTACTATTGGTTTCACAGAGTGAGCTGCCCAGTATGGTAGCTGACTTGAGGCAGTTGGTACAGGAACAAAGCTGCTAGCCTGACTCACCAGCCCCAGGCTGGGGTTTTTCTGCACAGTGCCACTGTCCAGTCTTCCAACTCATTCCTGGCTTCTTGGGTTTTTTTAAATCAAGCAGGTCATTAAGCAGGTATAATTGACCTTGATCTATTTCAGGACACCTTGCAAAACAGCAGCTGGTCTACACAGGGCAATGAGCATTCATGCCCATCCTGGGGGTACAACATGGTTCCTTGTCCCTGCAACTGAAGAGCAGAGAAATTTACAGGTTCCTCAAATGAGAGAACCTTGATTTGGTCAGAAGTACTAGCTAATTGAGGGATTCAAACCTCATTTCTGAGCTCACTCCTTTTCCCTTTGCCGAATGCACTCCTTAAAATTCTGCCTGTACCCCCAAAGATATGTACAAATTATCTCTACCTCCTTGAATTTACCAAATGAAGGGGGTTTTAATTATTATTTTCAAACAGTTGTACAAAAGGATTTCAATTTAATATCTATTTATAAGTATTCTGCATCTGTGTGTGTGTGTGTATGTGTGTGTGTGTGCATGTGTGTATCAGTACTGGACTTTGAACTCAGGGTCTTGGCACTATCCCTGAGTTCTATCACCTGAGCCACAACTCTCTTCCCAGTTTTTGGCTGGTTTATTGGAAAGAAGTGTCTCATGGATTTTTCTGCCTGAGCTAGCTTCAAACCTTGATCCTCAGATCTCAGGCTCCTGAGTAGCTAGGATTACAGGTGTGAGCCACCTATACCCAGCATGTACAATGTACCTTCATCAGCGAATAATGACCTATCTTGAGAGCTAACTCCATGCCAGGCACTTTGCATGCAGTAGCTCATTCTGTGCTTGCAATAAGCTCACAGTGGAATTAGTATTACTTCCATTTATGAGATGAGGAAGAACAGAGCTGAGTGAGGGGAAGCTTCCAGTGATAGTCAGCATTTGAACGCAGGTCCGTAGGTCTTCAAAGCCCTCCCACTCATTTATGGAAGTGTCTCTCTTACGTAACTCTGAATAGTCTCTGGGTTTCTGAAGCAAAGCCTAGGAAACTGCTGCTTACTGGGAAGCTCATGGCCTCTCTCACGGCTCTCCTGGCCACTCTGCAAATAGCCAGTGTCTGAGAGGTGAAGGGGAAGATAGTGACAGGGTGCTCCAGACCTTTGATAAAATGTCCTTGGAATTTGTCACTGCACCAAAGGAGTCACAGTCTCCTACTGATGCCTGGGGCTTATGCAAAACCATGCTGACAGGGACAGATGCCCTCTAGGGCTTAAGTGCAGATCATCAAGCTCAGGTGACCAAAGCAGAGGGACAGTCTGGTCCACAGGTGAAAGGTCAGCTGTCTGCACAAGCCCCCCAGCTCCTGCCTCTCACCACAAGGCAGGAAAAGGCTGGAACCCAGCAGCCTTAACTGCTGGAAGCCACTTCAAATGTACCTGACAGGTAGGTTTCATTCATCTCCTTTGAGGTTTCAAGGATGATCCATCCCAGGGCAGCATACTCAATGATCACCTTCAAGGTCACAGTCTGAAATATAATACCACTTTCCTCCCCTACAGAGCCCCTGCATCCCAAGGCCACTGGACCCCAGGAGGAGATGCAGACAGGCCCGACCAGGGAGAGGATGGAGAACATGACCTTCCAGGGCTTCTCATACCAACACATTAAAAAAAAATGGAGTAGGTCAAATTTCATTCATTTCTCTAGTTTAGAAAAAGCAAGTCTAAAAGCTTGGGTGGAAGGCAAGGCAGAACTAAGGTCCCTTAGGTACAGAAACCCAGACAGCATGAGGGGGCAGAAGGGAGGGGTGACACACTATTTGACAAAGGTGTCATGTGATATTAAACATGGGTACAGACCTGGGAACTCTGACCTTTGCCCCTCCTGGTCCCACCCCCTCTTCTAACTGCTCCCCCACCCCGTTCAAATCTGAAACGTAGATTTGGCTTGCATACAAAATACTTTCCTCTGACCAGAGCTGAGCTTTTGCACACCCCGACTGCATTGAAGTGACACAATGCTGGGGTCAGAGTAACACAAAATACTAAGACCCCTAGACATAACACAGACTCGATTTCTAAACACCATTATAGCAGTTGGCAGTTCCCAACCCCCTCCACCCCAACCCAAGTTGCAAATGTAAGAGGATTTTCACTTTATCTCTGCATGCTTCTTTAGCCGCCACTTTTTTTTTCTTTAATTCATTTAGTGTTGGTGTCCTGGTGCTTTATATTTGCTCTCATTAAAATATAAATCAGACTCTATCTAGAGTCAATTTAAAAAAAAAACAACAAGATCTGTATAGGAGAAGACACATCTTAATGTGGTGTGGAAATCTGCTTGCAACTTTCTCCAGTGTAATTCTAAACCACAAGGAAGACTAGGCTTCCCTCTGCCCTGCAGCTGAAAAATAGAACAGACTACAACAGCCTTTCTTACTCAGAGGCAAGACACCCCTCC